CATATATTCACCCTAAAACTTACTTACGTTTCATACTTCTAAGAATAATTCTCGATTCAAATGCATAAACTGAATAATTTTAATCTATCATGGAACATCCAATAAAGTCACATTTTACATCTAACATTAACTTACAACATTAACTTAATAAACTTTACATTGCTCACATACGTATACTTCAATTATATCACATTTCAAACAGACTTTCCAATCGTAAAATACCCAAACAATATAGTAACTTTAATGAGAATATGATAACTTCAATTATAAACAAAAAAATTTTCATACACGGCGCTGAAAATAATGATAAAATACCGAATCCTTTATCACAAAAATTCAGAAGCACCTTTCTCTCCCACACTAAGGACAAAAATGAACATTTTTGATTGCATGCGAAAATTGTACAATGAATAATAATGGAACATTAAATCTTCAATCCAGCATGATCATGTAATCATAAATGTATCTTTCTCTCTCATACACTTCTGGTTTGATCGAAAATGCGCTTGGACTTTTTTGGCTCCCTGCAAAATCATAAGCTTTCTACAAAGCAGCATAAACTCTCAATAAATCTATTCCTGATTGTCTAAAAAAAACAATTTCTTCAATCTCATCCCAGCAAACTTTAGAAAAACACACTAGAACAAAGAAAAAAAAATCCGCTGAGTATAATTAATATTTTAAAATAATATCCGAATATCTACAGTCACAATTTCTAATAGTCAAATTAATGACACTGACTGCTCAATATAACAGCTACAAATATACATGGTGTTACACGACTCATAATCAACCAATTAGGAGGCAATTCTGATGTCAAATGACTCAAAAGAGACTGCCTAAGATATGAGATATGATTGCAATTCAAAAGTTATGGAAAAAGAACATTTTCTCGATGTTTGATGACCGCAAATGGAGTTACAAAAAAATGAAGAATTCTGTACCCGTCCGTGTCAACAATGGTCTACTTATACTTCTGAGCTATTATATTTATTAGGATATAAATGGATAAAAATCAACAAATCTATGTGTCAAGATTCAAGCTGCTTGTAGCTGGCATACTAATGCAATTCGTTTTGTAACAACCCTTTGCGAAGTAAATATCTTATTCGACAAAAGTTCTTTTTTTCTTATCTGTATTTAAGTACATTAAATAATTCTATTTTATTTCTGGTCGAGTTTACAGCACAATAACATTTTAATCCAGAAAATTACTAGTTCTGCCGTGAGACAGAAATCTCAGAAACCTCATTTTGAACATTAATTTAATATTTACATTTCTCAGTCTTAACCTTCGTTTTTGCTTAGTCCCTAATATTATACTTTCAACGTGATGTTATTATTAGTTCATAGTGTATCTTTCTTACGATTATATATACGTACACGAATTTTTATCAATCATTCAGATAAAAATAAGTTGCAGAAAGAATGAAAACTTTCTTGAAGAATTAAATTTTCAATCCAGTATGATCAGACAATCATATTGGGCTTTTTAATTGAAATTTATAAATTGTACTCCATGTGAAAATCGCATAGATTTAGATAGAGATTACTCTGTAATTCATTATCGGAACTTATTTTATCCTATACTGCATAAAAAAGACGGCATGCAAAATTAAAGTTAGTCTGTACAGAAGTACGTGATTGCACATAGCCATCTTCATTTTCAATATACATATCAATTAATTGCTTATTTTAATATCAAGATAACACTGTCTATGGTTATATAAAAACTGAAAAAGAATGAAATCTTTCGATATTCTAGTGAAAGAATTATCGGACGACGCAACGTTCGACGATTACTTTTATTTAAGCAAAGTTATTACATTTAACGCCAATAAGAAGTATATATGATATACTAATATTAACACATGCTAGAAAGTCACTGGAAACTACGATTGAAAAATCAAATACATTTGAAAATATCTGATGAAACAGACATATTTAATATATATTTAATAAAACAAACTGATTTAAAAGGCTTACATTAAATTAAAAATAGCAATTAAATTTTGACCACGACTGCAATATCGTAACATTTTCAGGAAAAAATATTACATACATATTTTTCGAAAAAGGAAATGTCAGGATACAAACAAAATTTCATATTAAGAATCTGAACATCTGTTTCAGGAGGTTTTTTTATAGATTCTTCAAAAAGAAATTTAATAGCAATAGTATAATGAAAATATATGTTCTCCAATTCCCCGTACTTACGAGATAAAATTGAAACGTATATTGTTCTAAAATTATTTTCAATAAATAAATTACGAAAATTAGTATATTTATGAGAACTTCAAAAATACACCAATACTAATGAATGGATCACTAAAGTGGACACACAAAGTATTTTTCTTAGTGCTACTTCTAAATAGAACAACAGAGCGAGAACTAAGCACTATAAAATTAAAATTTAACCTAACAAAAAAATTCTTTTGACAAAAAAATGTATTTGCCATCTTTATATATCAAAATTTGGAGTTATAAAGAATTTTATAAAAACAGTAAATAAAAATGGAACAAGATTTGAATATTTAAAAAAGATATTTTCAGAATTGTCAAAAACACAACGAAGGAATTTCAAAATCGTAGATAAGAAAATTAATGCAAAACCTAAGCTTTGATAGAATATTAACAAATCCGGAAGAAAAAGTATAAATGGTATCTAAAAATACATGCAAAAAATTTTTGAGTATACAAAACTTTCAACTAAAATAGAAAAATAGTAGAAAAATGTATTAAAAATATGAGAAACTATCATATAAAACGTCACTAAAAATATAGCTTTGCACTTGGACTTCTGTATGCAGAATGATTTCTGAATCACTCTTTGTTCGAGAGGAAAACGTTTCAAAGAATGTATGAACGTCTCTACAACAAACTGGTACTTTTAAGAAATTAGAGGTGTGCGAGAACCTGAAATATCGGGTCGGGAACATGGAGTTTTTTCGGGATCGAGACGGGTACCCAAAAATTTCGAGAGTCTCAAATTTATTGGGATTCCCGAAAAAGTCGGGATTTTCGAAAGAGCCGGGATTCTCAAAAGAATCGAAATTCCCGAAAGAGTTGGGATTTGGAAAAGGATTGGGAACAAGCTTAAATAATTCGTTAAAGCCCACGCCTTCAACTATATCGAAAAGTCGCAGATTTAGAACTATTATTCGAGCAATTCCTTCTGCTATATTTTTTGGTTTAACAATTTTTCGATTTAACAATCTATCATTTTGTACACGCGATAAATTTTATATCGATTCAGTTTCTTTCCTAATATATATACTTATGTTTGGATGCATATGCTTTAAATGACTTAATAAACTAGAAGAATTTACATACTTAGTTTTAAATTCATGGTGACAATGTATGCATTCCGCCTTTATATCATCTTTTTTCTGAAAATGTTCCCAAACAGAGCTTTTCTTTACTTTCTTCCTTTGCACGATATCTTCTGTACTACTTCCTGCTACCACAACTTTACTCTCACTATCACTTGACATTTTTTTTAAAGATTTTTAATCTTTATTAAATTCACACAGATTTTGAAATATACGTCTGAACTTCCCGAATTTCTCAGCGATACTGTTCAGCGTACATAATGTCCAAGTACTAAGCACGCAGTCACACGTTTGTTTACATCAGGTACACACAATTCTTAGAATCCGTGTCTCCAATAACTTCACGAAAACTGACAGAAGAAATTGAAAGAATGTTGACTCACGAATTCTTTTTAGGAGTGTCATATAAACAAACATGTATTTACATATTTTGTAGGCTGCTATACAGTACTGTAGAGTAGTTCGAGAAACAGTAGCCGGGTTTTCGAAATTTTCGGGAAACCCGATTCTTTCGAGAATCTCGAAATTTTCGGAAACCCGACTTGATCCGACTTGATCCGACTCGACCACTTCCCAATTCGTCCCAATCATCGGGTTCCGATATTTTCGGATTCTCGCACATCCCTACAAGGAATGCAATAACAATATTATTATTATTGATAAAGATATTAGACGGAAAGTAGGTTCGAGTAATATTTTTTTCTAATTCTGTAGTATAAGAGAAACAAAAAAAAGCAAGCATAAAATAGTGGTATAGAAAATTTTACATGAACAACAATTTCATCCTTACCACAAAGAGTGCAAGATTTATCCGAAAGCAACTACGTGAAGTTCTGTACAGATGGTTGAATACAATATATATAATCAATGAGCAATATTTTCTACACACGGTACTGTTTACAAGTAAAACTAGTTTTACGAGAAATGGCGCAATTAATTTTCGTAATACATATCACTGGGACGAGGAAAATCCTCATATTATTCAAATCAAACATCAGACACAATTTAATAACAACATATGAGCCGGTATTATTGACGATCATTTGATATTCCTTTTACCTTCACGGTTAACAAGAGCTGCTTGTTCTAACTTCTTGAAAAAAAAAATTAACTGCATTATTAAATAAAGCCCCAACTAAAGACTGTACTTCTTTCTAGAAAAATAATTTTCTTTCTTCTACAAAATCTGTTTTGTTTTTAGTCTTTTTTTGAGCCGCCATTTTTTAATAGGTAATTTATAAGATAGCTTTCAAACAATCGTATCCTTATGTGAGATTGACAATTTAAATCTTAGTTTACTTCTATGGTTTTGTCAATTACTGAAGTTTACTCATTGATATCATTCAATGTTTCATAGAAAAATTCTTACCTTCCATTATTACTTTTGTTTATAAACACGTCTATTTTATTTTGCATTATGTAATTTCTTTATTACTGGATTTGTACCACAAACTAAAATAAATAAACTGTAGTGGATTTGTACCACAAAATAAAATAAATAAACTGTAGTGGCACAAATGAACTGTAAGAAATGTTTATATCAGAATTTTCGTCGTTATTAATTTTGCAAATTAGTATCAAATTGTGTTTGTGTTTGCTCTCTTATTAATACTCTTCTCTTATTAATCTCAGTATTGTTTCTTTTACATATATCAATAATTGTGTCGCCGTGTGATCTTGTAAATTAAAATCTGATCTGGAAATTGATCCGCACATGCAGCACTTACATTGCATGAATCTCTAACGAGATAATTCCTGCACATATTGTAACATTGATGTAGTTTTTTATTAGTAATATTACATTCTCGAAAGATCAATTTCCACATACATTTCCAGTGTCTACAATGCTTAAAACCAACTGCGGAGGCAAAATAACCAATATAGATGGATACTAAAAAGAACTTGATTAGCGCATTCAAAGACGGCGAGGAATTTGAAGATACTGAGGAAAAACTTGCTAGAGATACAAGCGACTTTAATTGCCTATTCTCGTAATTTGACTGCGAAGATAAGCACAATAGAACAACTTAAGATAAATTGGCTATTTAATAGGATAAGGATATTGAACATTTCCTAATGAAATGGATCAACAAAAAGAATGGCAAAAAAAATCTGTCGAAGATATAGGATAAAAGAATAATATGCGGAAATGCCACACACCCGCAAACTGCAGGATGAGAGAATATGGCAAGGTGACACGTGTATCGCAAATTGTTATTTACAGTCGGTCACAAAATGATTGGGTCAGTAACAAGTTTTAACCTTCAACTTTACTTACTTCCAATAAATGTACAAGAAACAATAATACCAAAACAAAAATGTATTGCATTATATTACGTTATACTATATAGGTAACAATAGCAAAAAAACTGTATACTATATAGGTAACAATAGCAAAAAAACTGTATCAATTATTATTTTTTCCTGTCTACATATTAATCTTTTGTGCCTTGGAATACTATCTGCCGAAGCGCTTCGTGTGGACGACGCGCTTGCGATCGCTGTGGACGGGAAACTTTTTCACTAACTAACTATTTCATTGAATATACACTGGGCGTAACTAACAATAAGTTTTATGGTAATTCTTTTATACATCAAATTAAATAATGAATAAACATTATTTCTGAGCATTAAAAATTTATTAAAAAACGGTAAAATTTATAAATACCCTAATTTGAAAATAAAAAAACAACTCAATAAATATAATAAATAATAAATTTAAAACTCACATTTTAAACAACGACATATTCATTTTTGAATCACTAGGATTGTTAATAATTTATTTGTGTATGATACGACTAAAATCATGATTCTGCGGAAAAAAAAGACTGATAGAAACAGACAGTCATCTGTTTTGTTTATTGCCGTTGCTAAGAAATATACATATATTCATCTTATCTAAAAATAACTATAATTATACTACGTTTAAGATCGAAAAAATTAACAAACGTACATATGTGTCATAATCTATGCTAGTAACTTTCGCCGAAATCATATATGTATGTCCCCATAGTCCAATAACTTTCGTTGGATGTATATATGTGAGCATATATATGTACGTCCATAGGGCTCAAAAAATTAAAAGAAATAGAAAAAGATCCAAAAACCAGTGCATGGAAAGTTGCTCTAATGTTACAAGAAAAATCAGACATAACAGTTCTTTCAAAAAATATTCGTAGAATACTGAAATCGAAAGGATACAACCATTATTCGTGTAATTATATTTATTAGCTATAAATATATAAACTTCAAATGTGATCTTCGTTACCATTTTTCTATATTTAAAAGAAAAGGTACCTCTTAATCTGATAAAACATAAAAATGTATACATGTATATATACATTTGCATGTATATATACATATATGCATACATCTGTACCCCATATACTCCAACTCTTTTTCGACTTACGTCGTTTATCAAACTGGAAATGGAATATAATTCAATTTTTCTCCTAAAACTAATAAACGACGAAATATTTTAAATAACAGTAATGACATACACTATATTACTATATAATATAATAATATTACTACACACACTATATTACTATATTAATATAATAATATTAAATCTATTATTAGATCTCAAGAAATTAAAAAATTACTAAGGACATCGTATTAAAAATGTTACAATACAGTAAATCTTTGTATAACACGATGCATAATTGCAATAACAGTATAACAAAGTGAAAAGTGCGCCAGATCTCAGATAACACGGTATTCGTACGATGCAATTTCTAAATAATCATTTCTTAATGAACATGGACAACCTTTAATACAGCACGAATGTTTATACAATTATAATTAATATAATAGCATATACTATACACTTACAATTACTATTAATGATGAACTAGTGTTGAGTCCATTCCGTCCATTAAAAGAAAAAGAATTAGAGTGATTCCAAATAACAAATGTGCCTCACTTATCAAATAATACGTTAATACATTAAACATATTGTGTTCTCCTCTTTCATATTATATTATTTATTTATATATTTTATGAAAAGCTATCTGTATTTTCATGATTTTCTTATAATACGATTTTATATGTATAATATGATTTTGATATAATATGAAACTATTCCCCTAATTCCTATTCTAATTTTTTTGTAACAATTTCAATACAATACGGAACGAATTAATCATTCATAGGCATCAAGTTCTAACATAGTATACTATTGTTACATATTACATTATTATTCACCTCTATTACTCATCTCTAAGGATATCACATGCAGTCAATTGTAAATGTATGTCGCTACATTTACTTATTAAAAAATATGCAAACAATTGATTATCCACTCAAAAATCGTTGCTATATTAAAATCAGTATTATAAAATTAATATATTACATCTACATTCACTATTAATACGTATCTGACAAATTTCATTATAGATTTCAATAACTAATGATTTACACTTAAATCAACATTTTATCATTTAATAACATATCTACTAGATCAAATCTGCAAACTTTCAAAAAATATATGAATTACATTGTTATAAAAAAATTTAAACACAAATAATACAAATGAAATAAGATAGAGAATGTATATTGCTTCGTTTCAAGGTAATACTTCATTTACATGCAGTATATACACCAAAATCATTACTGACTGTGAGTCTTAAAGAAATCTAACTCTCTTTAATTATTCTGAGTCTATCTGAATTAAATAAATGTTCTTTTAAAAAAACATGAGTTTAAAAAATCTTAAAAAAATGAATTTATTTATCTAAACAGATGTTACAATAATGTCAAATTAGTATTTTAATAAAATAAAATATAAGGAAAAGTTATTTCATGACAGAAGTTCGAATTATGTTTCTTAGAGAAAAAGAAACAGATACTAAAAACAAAATATAATGCAGAACTTTAAAACATGTTTATGAAAGAAATAAATACAATTAATCTATAAATAACCCTGAATCAAGAAGCACAACTTCTTGAAAGAAACACTCCAAGAAGCAAACATTAGCTTGAGTATATATTTGTGAGTATATATGTTTAATAAAGAAGTTGAAACAAACATTTTGAGTAAATGCATAATTAACACAATATAAGTATCAAAATTTCTATCATGATTTTATGAAAAAAATAGTACTAAATCATATTAATCTTAAAAGGATAAAATAAACATGATTTTTTGTCATTATTTTCCAGACATTAGTAATTCAAAATAAACATCTTTTTACAAATTAAAATAAAATATTACGAATGAATTATTGATTTCGAAATCAAAAATTATTTCTGCTCATTGGATATATCGTTGGTAACAATAGATTTAAAAATCATGAAAAATTTTCTTGATACTTTGTATATATGTATGTATAAAAATATATGTATAAAGATTAATCAGATTTTACTGCTTGCGTAACATTGAATATAGCACTGTTAATATCCAGATTGACACAATCTGTGAATTGTAGACGCACACCATGACTTAAATCATAAGGGATTAATAAAAATGAATTGATCTTAAAAAGAAATTCATGGTTATTTTCATATCTCAGAAAATATAATAAATGAAAAATTAAAACCAAAAATATCTAACTGATTGGAGATGGAACATAAAAATATTTTCTTACACAATAATAAAAGACAAATTATTTTGGATAACAGCTCTTAATGATTCACTCTATATATATTATTATTAAATAGTAATACTTTTATATGCTACTATTATAATAGTAATTTAATATAATAATAATATTAAACTTATGTATTAAATTTAAAAAAATTAGAAAGATATTTAAGATATAGTATTAGAAATGTAATATGATATAATATAAATACAGTGAGTACGCATAATACTTCTGTATAACCTTCGTATAATTTCAATATACTGTTTCGATATAACATGGTGCAAAAATCTTATATAATACGAATAACGTTAATTTCCAGTTAACCATTTCATAATAAACACGGACGGCCTTGTTCAGCACAAATGTTTATATGGTTACAACTAGTGCTAACAATAAAGCTAAGTGACGAGAAGTTCGTTAAAAGAAGACGAATTAGACTAACAGTGATTTCAGATGACAGTAACGATAATAATTAATAAGTACATTGTATATTTGATGTACGTGTGTATCGTACATATATGTATATCGTTAATACTTAACGTTAAAAATATTTCCTTCTCGTATACATTCGATATTATTTATTTACTTATTTCATAGAAAAATCTCCATTTTCATATAACTTTTTATCTTATAATATAATTTTGAAATAACACGCATTTCTCTGATTCCTATTATTTCCCATTGTAAGTTTTCTTCAACACAATTTCGATACAACAGGGAATAAATTAACCATATTAATTTACTGTTTTTAATTCTAACTAGATTTACTGTAGTAAAGTTACAGGAAGCATTAAGTCTCAAATGTACTATACAGATAGTATTTTATTATTATTAATGGCATTAATGAAATATTACTAAAATATTTTACTTTATTTGTTACAAATTCATGTTTACACATTTCTTGTATATATTTTGTAACAAATAAAAAATTTCATTGTTACAAGTATGTGTAATGACATATTATCAAAAATATGTATGTTGTGGATACAAGAAAATTTTTTTAAATTGATATATGACAAATAATAACTGTAATCACTAATGATTATTCTTTAGCTGTTATGTATTAGTTTTCTAATGCTTACAAAAATTTTCCA